TTATTATTATTATTATTTATATTATTATTATTATTATTATTATTATTATGACGGTGATCGTTATCGTTATCTTTATCATCATCATTATCATTATTATTACTATTAGGAAAAACTTTATATAGAGTCGAGGCTTTAAGCAATCAAATTAGAGCCTACCTCAAAAATTTCACTAGAAGAGGTTGTTTTGTTGCCCAAATATCCTCAAATTGATCATCTCAACATCAAGATGCATGGACATGAGAAAAAAAATGGATTTCAAGTTTGGGAAATAGTGTATTTTGTAATGTATTTTTGGACCGTCAATTTTCAATATTTTTAAATTTTCATAGATGTGTCTATCTACACTATTTTTGAAACTTTAAACTTTATAAATAGGGAAAAGTTTATATAATGTTGCAACCTTCAAATGTAGAATTACAAATACACCTCAAAATTCCATCGAAGAATGTTGTTTCAATGTTTAAAAACCCTCTAAATGATCATCTTGATATCGAGATATATGAATATGAAAAAAAAAAAAAAATTTGAGTCCCAGAAATAGTGCATCTTGTAACACATTATCTAGACCGTCCATTTTCAAGATTTTCATATATTTATAGATCTACTTGATTTTAACCATTTTTAGATTTTTAAATCTTATAATTAGATATGAAAATAGATTTTCAGATAATACTAAAAAAACTTTACACCAAAATTACATGTTATAATAAAATTTGGAGGTGTGCCTTAATTGGATTGTTTAAGGTTGCAGCCTTAAAGAAACCACACCTTTATAAATAAAGATGAAAATACATCTTAAAGATTTTAAGTATTGAAACCACATTTTTTGACACTATTTGAAGATAGGCTCTAATTTGATTGTTTAGAGCCTAGGCCCTATACAAACCGGACCCTAACTATTAATACAATATTAATACATTAAGATAATAAAGTATTATTAAAATAAATATAATGATATTTTATGTTACTATTATAATATTATATTATTATATTATGTTCTATATTATAATATAATAATACTAACATTAATGATGTCCATAACGACGGTGGTGATGATCAATACACCACACAAATGGTGAACCTTGTATTCACTATTGTGAAACTTTTAAACATGAAATGCATTTATTAGATAAAAAATGACTTTTGATCATAAACACCTAATGTATGCATTTTTTATCCCTTTAAATCTTTCCGAAACTCAACTTTAAATTTAAAAGATTCTTTTGATTAGAATTTAAAATGATTTAAAATTACAAATATGCTCTTTCCAAAAATTTTGAAAAAATTATTTTTAGTGTTAATTTTTATATCTGTAAAAGCATTTCATTATAAAAAAAATTTCCAAATAGAAAATTCAAAGTTCACTATATGATATATTCTAGAATAAACCATAATAAATATTAAATAAAAATATTATATCTATAGATAATATCATTATTATAATGAGTGAGAATGAAAAAGGATGAGAGGCACCGGGCCCAATCCAAAAAGCTAACTTTGTCAAAAGCCTGCATTTACTCAGTCGATGGCGCCCCCCAATATGGTTCTATAACATCCCACCGTATCCTGCATCTTAAATATGCAAAAGTAGATTTTGCACATAGTCCCAAAAATGACCTTATCTTTTCCCTTGCAACTTTTTCTTTTGATCATGGCATCAAGCAACAATCCAAACCGACCACATTCCAAACTGCAACAGTCCAAATCAAGTACTCTTGCTTAGGAATTCAATGATTAAAATCATGAAATAAGTTATTCCTAACCCTAAAGACTAGAGTATCATTTGAAACCTGGAAAGACTATTATCTGATTGAGCTTAGTGATATTCAAGATATTAATTATTGTATTCCCTGCCAAACTCCATCGGAGATTAAGAGTCATCCCTTAATTTGATCTTTCTTTAATCCATATTCCTATTTCTTCAATACTTGCCAAAGATTAAAGGTTTTTGCTTGAATATCAATTCTCAACCATTATATTAGGATGTATTCCAACGAGCAAATGATATTTTTTAGGAGAATTTTAGAGAGAGTTCGAACAAAAATCTGGGAGATAATCTCAAAGGATAGTTGTTCATAAAGCTTCAAACATACAAATATAGTGCTATTTTTCAAGATTTGAGAGAGCAAACCAGGAAATGCAGAACAAGTTCTAGAGAGAGAGAGTCACAGCTCGACTGCCTCTCATCTATATGCAAGTTTCACAGGATTTATATGAATAATGGGTCTTTATATCTGTAAATTTTCGTCCTTTTTCTTTTGAGTTTTTTATATCTTTGTAATCACAGATCAAAGGTGATCCCTTGTAAATGAAACGTGTTGCTCACGAATGATTTGATCACTTCCCAAATCCATTCTTTGATGAAATACTCCTGTTTATACGGTCTTGAGTGTGTGTATGTTCTCTTGTTTTTGCATATAGAGTCATATCTACCTTTCCGGATTCCCCTTGGTACACATTTTACTGCTCTCAGGCTCTTCTCACCTTCCATTTTGTTCATTTAGAATAGACTCTGGTGATCCACTCTTGATTTAATAGTGAGAAACATCGCGACTTTTTATCCTTCCTATTTCTCTTTCTTCCCTCTGCTATTCCCTCTCTTTACCATGTTCTGAAAGTGTTTCACAATGATTCATCAAAAGGTATAGCGAAACCAGCGATTCTATTACCTTTTCCTTAAAAAGAATGATAACAATATACATAACACAACATACATAAATATACAAAACTGAATGAGATCAAGCTCGACGAATTAAGATCATCTCTTTTGGGTGCCCACTCCTTTCTGTAGCCACAGATTTAGTGATCTCCGAGGGATCTTCAACCTTTGGACATCAACAGGTCTTCGAGTTGTATATTCACGTAACTGTGGCCTCTTTGACATGGTAAGAGTTTCAGGGGACAGAGAACTGATAACATGTGCATGCCTTGTAGAGAGCTCACCAAGTTCAGGACCTTCCAAAACGGAAAGGCCCAATTCCCCTTGAAGAACTCTAATGACTGCATCACGTACCCTCAGCTCTGTTTCTGCAGCATCCATATTTGATCTTGTGTTTGCAGTGATGATAATCATATCATCTCGAACAGGTTTACCTGCGTACAACAAATGCAACATCTTAAGCCATGATATCTATAACCCTTTTTTCATAGTTATTATATCACTTTTAGAAAAATTCTAATGAACCACTCCGAAACTTTGCAAATGGATTGCCAACATATAAGTCAGGTTTTTAATGCCACATTCACCTGTAGCAGAACACATAAAGTTGATGCTACGAAGGGTATGACATGATGAAGATTCAACTAGGGAAGAGGTGAAAATCAGGCTTTTCTAATGTCATGATGTCTTAGCCCGCATAATCCTCTTTGAGGCATTTCTCTTCCATTCATTAATCGAACATCCAGAGAATAAAATCAAATGGAAACTGTGTGTGTGTCCAGGGTCCTCATACCATGGCAATTGTCTATATACTGCATGGAATAATCAGTTCCCTCATGTCCTAATGCCAACACAGTAAGTGGGTGTAATTCCTCCACACAGTCGGTTGAATGAGTTCGAGATAAGAGTCCCCCAATTTGTTGAAATCACATGGTTAAGGCCTTAAGGGACACATTTATATTCATACATGAACATGAATACATGCATACAAATGTGCATGTAGTATATATGAAAGGGTGTAGTTGGCATACGGATGCATCCGTAGCTGTAGAGGTAAGGTGCACCTTCAAATTTTATCATGGTATATAATTTATATGCAAAATGTTCTTAGGATTATCTCAAAATCTATTTTTATACGTAATTATAAAATTTTATATCTCAAAAATGGCTAAAATCAAGTAGATCTATAAACATATGAAAATCTTGAAAATATACAAGGTAGATAATATGTTGTAAAATGCACTATTTTTGAGACTTAAATTTTTTTTATTTTTCATGGTAATGCATCCCGAAGTCGAGATGATCAATCAAAGGGTTTTTCAACATTAAAACTACCTTTTCCGATGGATTTTTGAGGTGCATCCGTAGTTCTACATTATAAAGTTGCATCCTTATATAAACTTTTTCCTATATGAAATCATTTCATGAAATCACTTCCCATATGTGTACAGATATGAATATATGGCCCCATGGAGCAAATTGTACCTTTACTCCCTCGGGCAAAGACTCGCTAGGAGTATTTCTAGGACCCCAAGTTTTGGGGATGTAACATAATCAACCTAGAGGCCAGCCTAAAAGAAAATTGAATATAAACTACCTACATCCCAAAGATAAATCTCAAAAAGAGAAAAATCAAATTTGCATCCTACAAAAGGTTCAAATGAGTCCAGCAACGATGAATGTAGCCCCCATTTGGTGATCATTTATATCTAGGACTTTAAGAACTCAAAATCAATTTTCTTTTATAAAATTGTTCAACTGGTGATGATAAGGCCAATTCCGGGATGAAAAATAGGGAAAGTACATAAAGAGACTATTTACCTTTAATACAAGGTGGTCACAATTAACCTTGGTCATTGGATGTGAAATTGGGTGGCTGCATTTATTTCATTGCCCAAAGACAAAGTTCAAAAGAAATTTTCTTGAACTTTTTGACACCAAAACTATCAAATTTCACATCAGATGGTTGTGCAAGTAATTGTGACCTCCCTGCACTCCCCGTAAATAGTCTCATTATATACAATCCCCCCCATCAAATGACGACCTAAGTTACTTGTGTTCAAAAAGTTTACTTTTTAGGGAGCATTTTCGAATTTTTATTTTCTGAAATTGAACCTTGGAATGGAGAGAAAGTCCGTGCAAAATTTGGGGTCATAGAATTGCTCCTAACATAATTAAAGGAACAGTTTCATTATATATATCTCCGGCATGATTTATAAAGTGGTTCCATTTTATGGGCCTGTTTGGAGATACTCGTTATCATTGATAATTCACTCAATAAAATTAGTCCTGATAATAAATTATCTATCACTGATAATTCACTCAATAAAATTAGTCCTGAGAATTAATTATCTATCGTTTGGTAGTGTCCAACATAAAGTTATCTGAGATATGTTTATAGGCAGTTTATACATGCAAGTTCATCTTTTGAAAAGTTGTTTTTATAGTATTCAAAGTAATTTTCTAAATCACTGAAAAAGTTAACAAAATAAAATTATGCAGAATATAATAATTTTAGATAAGATAGCTCCAAATACAATTATATAAATGGGGAGTAATTTTATGCAACGGTTGTATAGTAATATAATGAAACAATCTTCAAATACTATGTCAAAGCCATTTGTTTGACCCAAATTTTAAAATATACACTCTTTTCATTCTAATGAACAATCATGAAAAAGTAAAATTTGAAAACACAACCTAGAAAGTGTTTTTTAGCCCAATTAACATAGCCAGTCCATTTTGGTGACATACTTAGATCTAGGTCCTAGAAGGATCTTTTTTCTTTTCAAATTTTTTAGATAACTTTATTATCATTAAATTAACAACATTAAAAAAGAAAAAAATTGATTTTGAATTAATAAAGGCCTAGATCTTGAAATTCACCAAATGGACGGTCTAGATTCATTGTAGGAGAAAACTCATTTTGACCACATATAGGATGCAAATTAATTCTTTTTTTGGAGATTGATTACTGAGATGAAGAGAGTGTGCATACAAAATTCTGGGTCATACAAATTCCACAAACATGGTTTTCTAAAAGTGTGGTTTCATTATATTATAATGGCATAGTGACATGATATCATTTCCC